AACACTGAAAAATGCAAGGTTCTCCACCTTGGGAGGAAAAACCTGCAGCATGCTTATAGGCTCGGCAGTACTACGCTGGCTAGTACTACAGAAAAAAAAGAGACTTGGGGGTCATCATTGACCACAAGGTGAGCACGAGCCTTTAAATGCGATGCTGCAGCTAGTAAAGCAACCAAAACGCTGGCTTGTATCCATAGAGGCTTCTCAAGCAAATCCCGGGACATCATTCTCCCCCTCTACTCAGCCTTGGTGAGGCCGCAACTGGAATGCTGAGTCCAGTTTTGGGCCCCACAAAAAGAATGTGGAGAAGCTTGAGAGAGTCCAGAGAAGCACCATGCGCATGATCAGAGGTCAGGAAAACAGACCTTATGACAACAGGCTGAGAGGCTCTTGAGCCTGGAAAAGCGCAGGTTCAGGGGTGATCTGGGGGCCACCTGTAAGTTTATCAGGGGTGACCATCAGTATCTGGGGGAACGTTTGTCCACCAGAGCGCCCCAAGGGATGACGAGGTCGAACCGTTATAAACTCCTGCAAGACCATTTCAGGCTGGACATAAGGAAGAATTTCTTTACTGTCCAAACCCCCAAGGTCTGGAATAGCCTGCCATCGGAGGTGGTTCAAGCACCTACATTGAACACCTTCAAGAGTAAATTGGATGCTTATCTTGCTGGGATCCTATGACCCCAGCTGGCTTCCTGCCCTTCAGGTTGGGGGCTGGACTCGATGATCTTCTGAGGTCCCTTCCAGCCCTAATGTCTAGGAAATCTATGTTCCTCTTTTTTCAAGGGTCACTATTTAAACTTTTCTTCAGATATGAAGATTTGCACTGTTTGTAGTGCTTCAAAGGTACTTGGAGCACTTCAAGCAGAGCATCTGTTCATGGCCTCAATGTACCAAGAATGTGACACAGAAAAAAACCTCAAGGAAAGGCAATAAAGCAAGAAATCTAGCCAATCGGTTTTTAAAAAGTCTGTTGTGCTAGCAAAAAAGGTAATGTTTAAAAGAGAAAGCAGTTCTAATTTATCTTGAGAAACTAACTTTACACACACGATATCACTTTAAGCAGAGGTTCCCAACCACTGGGCTGTGGCCCAGTACCAGGCTGCAAAGGGTTGGCTGCTGGGTTATGGCATAAGCCCCCAACTCAGACCCCCATCTGTCTGCCTGGGCAAGTGGCTCCCACTGCCAGCAGTCATGTGCAGGGTTAAAGCTGGGAAGTGGGGCAGCCCCAGGAGGAAGGCAGCCACTCTGTGTGCCCTGTGCCGGTCCGCGGTATAAAAAAGGTTGGGACCCACTGACTTCAAGTATCATCGATTCTAAACAAAATAAGCTATGCTTAGTTTAAACAGTTTCTTCAGTGTAACAATAAATGTTCTATCGTCACAACTGTTTTTTCCTGCTTAAATACCTGTTTCCATTGCAAAGAATATTCAGCAAAGATTATTATACTGGCAGTTATGAAAGAAAATATTTTGTTCTAAGCTTGTTTTGTGGGCTGTAACTGAGGGAAAGCAAAACTCTACAGTGCCACTGAACTATAACTGTTATAAAGAATGAGTTTTCAAAAGCTTAAGTGCTAAACTGATGCACACTGTATCTCTACAGGACATAACCTATTTATATTAAAAACATGTGACATGGGAGACTGACAAGACAAAAGGTAAAATAATTCTGTAAACCATTTCCTAACAAATACCAACAAGTGACATGCATTACACACCAATAACAGCTAGCTGTGGCAAAATAAGTATTCTTTTAATGCGACAGCTATATTCTGATCTTTCAGACTTACATGTGTATCTGCAGATCCAGTGGTATGTACTGCATCTGGCGCTCTGACCTGTAGGCGATAGAAAAATAGTCATTCAACATACAGGAAGCATTTACTGATAAGCAAAACAACTTTCCCTGTCAACTGGAGTTTTGGAATTTTCATTTCAGTGCCTATCATCATTATTCCTAAAATCATCCTGCCCTCAGATATTTAAGATTAAACCCCTGAGCAGTACAACATACTTACAGAATGTCACTTTTAATGCAGGGCAGACAAGGATCCAGAACAGTCACTGTTTTTGCGCTCACCATAAACACCTGAATTCTGCCCCTTGGATTTCACGGTGTCATTATCCCTTTCACCAGAATGTTACACTAAACCTGCTTGCATCCTGACTGTCCATTAAATGGTACATTATTTGTCTTATATGTGTCTTTATTAAATATCTTATTAGTTCCTAGCTATCACCATACTGTATTTAAAAACTGGAAGGAGGCAATATTAAGGAAGGACCTATAGTGAACTTAAATCCTTACTACTGAGATGTATATTAGCTGACAATAATTAGCATCTTAGTATATCCCAGTAAGTAAATGAAGTCTTTCTTCTATTAAATTGAATATATGAGAGTTCTGGGCCTATACCTTACAAGAATTATACATATTCAACAGTAATTTTTTTTAAACTTACTATATATAACAGTGGGGAAATATGTGCAACTGCATCAATGCTGTTTCAAAGAAAATGAGACAATGTACTTGGTTAATTCTTTGCTGAATGTCAAATATGTTACAGCACACAGAATTTGAAACACAAGTAAAGTACAATGTTCTCCAAAGCATAAATTTCCCCACTTTATGCCATTACTGCACTATTCTCTAGAAATGCAGCTCTTTTTGGGGTATGAATAGAATGAAAGGGATAAATTTGTCTTTCAAGACTCAATACAAGTAGTAACTTTCAGAGTAGATTTTGTGTTGTGGATACCAACTAGTGAAAGACCTACAAGCCATTTCACATATCTGCAGTAGTCATCAGACAGTAACAAATGCTCAGTCACTACCACCTAGGGGTCACTAAATAATCTGAGTGTTTCAACTGTCATGGCCCAGTTTCATTCCTTGGAAACCCCATGGCTTCAAGGTGCATAAAAGAACTGCTCTTAGGTTGTATAAGCCACTTTATGGACCAAGTCAAGCACAGATCAGCCCATAGAATCACGGAGTCACAACTGGTTCCCTCCGGTCTCTTGTGACAACACAGTCCCAAAAACCTATTATTTCAGACAGCAGAAATCAATAAGAAAAACATGTATTCCAGTTGCTTGTTTTTGGCATCCATAAGATTATAGTAATTTTATTAGTGAAGTTCTGAGAATGAGATTTATTACTTAAGGACAGAAGATTTTAAAATATTTTTCTACAGATCTATTTTAGACAACATTTAATGCTTTCAGATAGAATGACTGGACAGGTAAGTGAACTGGAACATTGCACTGCTATTTTCATTTCAAATGTGAAAAGTGGTTCAACATAAAAGAATCTGCAGACCTAGATTACTGATTGAGAGTAAAATCTCTAAAACAGATTATTTTGAGTTTAGTTGAATATTTGTTGTGTTACATACACATATATCCGTAGAAGTTGTAGAGAGAAAAGGAAAAAGATAATTCAGACAGATTTCAAAAGTAGCACAGCAATTTACAATATTTAAGTGTTGGTGATATAGTGGTTAAATATCAAAATGTATTTAGAATATGGTTTAAATATAGATTTCTCAGGCCCCTGTACTAAAGAAAAGGAAGCCATATTAAAATATATAGAACAGAATATTACCTTGAGGCTGTTCCACCTACAGCTAACACATCCCCTTTGGAATACAGTAAACAGGCTTTACAGGCCTCAGCCTATCTCTCATTCAATAAATATTTGTATCTATAGGAAATTAAATATTAAATGTTATAGCAAACCATAACTTGCCTAGTAATAACTCTCCTGTTACTAAAAAGTGGCACACAATTCAACATAACACTGAAATATCAAACCAGTTGGACTCCAACATTAGTGCTTAAGCCTTTCTGGAATAAATGTAGTATCTTTCATCATCACTTTCAATCTACTGTAGTGAAAAGATCACAAACTTCAGTGCTTTAACAGTAAAGCAAAAGGGAGTTTTCCAAGTTGCCTTTTTAAACAAGTAATCACAATTAATGTGCCCTAGCAGCTTTGAACAGAAATCTCACTTGTCTAGAAATACCATGCAAAGAAAAAATTGCCAATATGTGCAGACAGTTCTTACCCGACTCTTGGTAACATGTTATTAAAGTTTAACTTTTATTTTAGACTTGAACAAACAACATCTACAATGTGCAGACATATTACTCTTAACTAATCGTTATACATGATTTACAGTAAAATCAAATATAAGTTAATCAGTGTACACAGAAGAAAAACACATGCAAACAAGCTGGTACACGAATAGCCTCATCTTAAGGACACGATTTATTATAGAAAAAAAATCCCTTGTTAAAATTTCAAACAGTTGACATTCTTTTCTCAGACAGCAAGATAATGACATTTATTTGATCATAATAAGAAATATTTAAATAGACACCACGAAACAAAAAAAAAAGTAGATACACACACATATATAAGTTTGTGATCTTTTCACTACAATAGATTTTGCATTAGCCAGCAGTAGCTCATGGGGCACTATCAGTGTTGGGGGGTGTGTACACGCATGCGTGTGTGTGTAATTTTATATATATAATGCCTAACTTCCAGAAAATTCCAATACTGATGGTGCCCCATGAGCTACTGCTGGTTAACGCAAAATGCACATGTAAAATAATGTTTAAGTCAAAATAAAGATATAGAGATTATCCAATTTTCTTATTTGTTTTATCAATTTCTTCATCATTACCCATTGAGCATTAGCACTTTTCCTGTTCTCTGATGATGTGATACTATGAAAATGTAACTTGGACACGGACTAACAAGAGCTGTATAGATAAATAGGCATGGAAAAAACTTTGCTAAGAATACATCTAATTTTCAATCAACTGTACATTTGCCAAGACACTACCATTTACATCTAGGTACACTACTAATCTTTAAGGAAACTATCTACATTTTTACCATCAACAAATCCTTTCCAAAGTAAGGGTCAACAGTGCTTCAAGTAGGGTTGCACCAATAAAGATGTTTCTTGGCCGATGCTGATGGCCAATTATTAATGAGCCATATGGGCCGATACCAATCCGACTGCAGATATGCAAGCCACCAGCAGCTTGGAGAGCAGTGTCCGGCTAGTAAGTCTGCAAGGGTATATCTTCTCTATACCCCTTCCTACACTGTCATGTGTTCTATGAAATGTCTTTATTTGTAAATTAACTCAAGATGCATCTCCAGTACAGTGGCTACAGTCACACTGCCTCACTGACATGCAGGTATATCCTAAACAAAACAAACTTCTTCCCTGATTGAATTCTTCCCTTCATATTTCATTTTACAGTAGTGCCTAGAAATCTAATCAAGGATCAGAGATCCATGGTTCTATACATTGTATAACATAATAAAGAACCAATCTCTGCATCCAGATCTTAAAAACTAGGTGGATTAAACACCCAAATATTACTTTGTTACTATTTTAAGAATACAGTGATCTTATTTTGCACAATTAATAAAAGCATATGAAGATCTGAAAAATACAATCACATTTAGAGTAGGCAAACCTCAGCCTAAAATATCATCTACATGCCCATACGTTTTAAAGTGTCTGAGCTAGTAGTTTTAAAAGCTACTTTCCAAACACAAACTGATGCAAGATTGTCTTCCTAAAATGTGTTTCTACAAAATATAGCAAGTACTCACTATCAAAATTACAGAAAGGTCAAGCTTTTTGTAAAGAATGTATTTGGTTCCCTAAACTGAGACTCTATACGGGGCTAGTTTTGAAAACACGGGCACTCAGCACTTACTAAAGGGTCCCTAAAGGGCAGCTAAAACTAGTTGGATGTTTTGAGGTTTTCAAATCATTAGTTTCAGTAGTAGTAGGCAACTGTCCATCCTCTGGATCATGGTGTATGTGTAAGAGGTCTAGTCAGGTGCCTGATAAATCCACTTGTAAAAGTCCTGCAACCATCACACCACGCCAAGACCTTGGATGTATATGTCTAGGTGAGAGTATGGAGGAGTGGATGCTGCCCAAGACCTACCATCCCCACTTTAAACCACTGAGTCAGAATCTAAAGGCCAGACCGAGTCCAGATATTCAGCGCCTCGATGGCTGTAGCTTCTGCCAGAGAGCAACAGATAAGAACTGCTGATGATTGCTAATGCCTCAGTGAGGGTGCATCTGTCAAAGCGATGTGCCTTAGCCTTTCTCCAACCAAGGAGCACCCACAGGCAGTAGGGGCTAGGGTTCTGATGTGCCCTATACTTGCCTTACTTTGGAGGTTACAACGTTGTGGTGTTTTATAGAAGCTACCCCACCACAAGTAGCCCCACGACATTACCACCAGGTTCTCCAGTCGGATGCAGTTTACAGTCATACCCAGGACCACATTAGCTTCAACTGAATGAAAAAAAAAAAATGGAGTAAGGGTCACTGTCCTGACAAGAAACTTAGCCACCCCTTCACTAGATGCTGGCATTATCATCAAAATTCTGTCCATAGCTGCTTCTTGGAGGCAGCTTTCATATTATTTTCAAGCCAGCCGGAGACATGTGACGTTCTGTCACCTCTATGACTGCTCAGAGAGAGAACAGTTCTGTGTCCTCTCTTCCTGAATGCTGAAAAAATCCAGACAATGGCCTTCTTACAAAGTTTTAAGTTGCCTTTATGCTTTCCAAATCACAAGGCTCGAGGCCCTGAGAGGGTCTCAAGTCACAGACTGGGGGAAGCTCTAAACTGTGCCAGCTGTCAGAGATCTAATCTGGAATCACCAAGGCACAGGAGCCAGCCAGTCATGCCACCAACTCAAAAATAAGACCACATGTAAATCAGTGTCCTGGCTCTACCTACCAAGGAATTAGGATTCCACGAGAATAAAACTTGCAATGTCAAA